TAGCTAATGTGATAAATTGCCATAAATTTACCAAAAATATTGATATTAAAGTTTGTCGTTTCATGCCTTTATTCTAGATACGAATATTTAAAGGATGCGAAAAAATTTGAAAAATACTTAAAAATCATTTTTAGATATCTTCAGTGTATCAGTTAAAACATTTATGTTACGATTCATACGCGTGTTATCACGTACCAAATAAAATTAGTCAAATATAATTCTGTAATATTTTGATTGCTACATAAATTAATTAATTATTCGCGTTTCATAGAATTTAAAAGATTTTACACTCTATTTGCATATCAATATAATAATAAAGTTAATGATAATACTGTATCATTTGTATATACTTTATTAAATTTGCATAATACTTTGTTAAATGTACAAAAGACTGGCTTATAAATAAGTTTAAAATTTAGTCATGTTCGACAAAAGATATATTAGTGAGAATACGGGTCATTGATTTCAAGGCAATTTGTTTCTTACACATTGCTGAATAAATTTAATTGTAAGTTGGTAGTTGTTTCGCATAAAATTTTCCAAACTGTTCGAGAATAATAGTTCTCTCCGGAACAGCAACCGAATCGGTCCACGGGGACGCGCAAACCAATCGACATTCAGATGCCAAATGTGCAAGGCCGGAAATGCATGACCTACATTATCGATATGCGACCTCTATCACGATAGATACGACGGCATGGCACGACCCATCGATAGTTCGCGGTATCGAAAACGAGAATTATCAATCGTAATTGCGTAATTTAGAGCGACTTAAATCACTCAATTGAAACGTCACGATCGATTACCACGAGTTACTTCGCATCAAACCGAAAATTAAATATTAGATGCAAAAAATTACACTGGAACAGTTGACCTAGCAAATCGATTTAAATTCATCGTACATTTACCTTTCGCATATCAAATTATTTAAAATTACAAAGTAGCGCACGTCCAACGTTTAAAAAAAGATCTGAATTCACAATACGATTATCAATTCTTTAAAATGGAGATCATATTTGCCATATTCTATTATTTTTTATCATCATTAGACAAGATGTGTCATCTATTACTAAATCATCTATATTACTAAACGTAAGATTATTCCAGATTATTAGCAAAACAATAGATAAAATATGTCTTGGTTTTGTATTTAAAAATTGTAAAATATTTCTCGCAAATAGCGAGATCAAATACTACGTCTTTATTTTTATCTATCGCGGGCGAGTCTATATGGGTCGAAGAATTTTTATTATTAGACAAAAATTTATGTTTATGCATGAAGATTAAAAAAATGCAGTATGTTAATTACAATCGTCTACTAATTCAAATCCTTGAGCAGTTATGCGACTATCGCAAAACATTACGTCGAATTTAAGTCGATATAGAACCGCAAGGAAGGGTTAATGCATGTATCTATGGCAAATACACAAATATCCATAATAGTCGTAGTTACACGCGATTACAGCCTGTGCGACGGGCAAACGATTCTTGTCCTCAAAAATTAATTGCGTCTTATCCGGTCGACTTTGTCGGTCTAGGCGGGGGTGGTGCAGTGAGCGGAAGTGCAAGGGAAAACGTCTCTCTCGTACGCGGCGAGAGAACCATTTCCGAAATACTTGTCAGATCCGCTCGCGCGCTTGTCGCAGCGGCGGGGAGGCGCGGGAACGTCGAATACGAGGACACGCGGAGAGAATGTATGCCGTGTGCGAATTATCGACGTCGACGCGCAGGCCGTGCGTACCTCTATACCGGTGGCACCGAGCCGCCGATGTGCGCGATCAAGGTCGCGGCGCACCGCGCCGCACCGTGCCGCGCCGCGCCGCGCCGCGCCGCGCCGCGCCGCTCGTCGCTCGTGGCTCGGGTAGTCGATGAGCATCGACTTCTCGACCTTCCGTAATGAAGAGGAGAGCTACGAGGAGAGAGCTAGGAGAAATTCCATTAGCGAAGATGATCCACGTGCGATTAACACTTTACCGCGATCGAATCTCCACATGCCTGGGATAACACTCGAGCACACCTGCGGATACACCTGTCCTCTCCCGCTCTTTGTCAGGCCGCTTTGAACTTTGTGCCGTGAAGCCACGCTCATTGAACGTTCTCCCGCGATATTTGGGGTTTCACGAGGCGAAACTAAACGGTCCCGGAGTAACGCCTGCCTGTACGATCGCAAGAAGCGATCTCAGAGCAGCTCTCGTCTCGTGTTCTCCATAATCGCGTAGGCAATTTAAATTTGCTCGTAGCACGTTTTTTTCTTATCATCAGATAGGCGCCCGTCTTGTGAAATGCAACGTAATTGATCGACAACCTTCCTGTGGCCGCGAATCTTTCCTGTTATTCAATAACGTCGCGTAATCGGCTCACGCGGTAATCGCGTTAACCCTCCGACGTCAAACGCGCAACACAATAGCGTGATTTTATAATGCCATGTTAATTGCGTGTCATTCCAAGCGTGTAACGCTCCCCGCGGTACCGTGTGACTGGAAATGGCCATCCTCGCCGAATGGTCAAACATGCGATCACGTCGGCCTGGAAGTACGTTTTCGCTCGACGGACGTTCGACCGCGTTGAGATCGCGCGATCTGTCAAACACCCATCCGTTCTCCCGAGACTGTTGCGTCGCGATGACGGTCATCAAAACCCGCCAAAATCATCGCGTCGTACCAAGGCGGAGGGAGTCTTTCGCACAGTGGTCCTCCGCGTCCGCGGAATCCACGTTTCGCTCCTCTCACCTGCGAGTGCTCGTCCGCCTGTCGGACCGCTGCGAGGATATTAGCGGAAGCAGGTCACAGCCCCAGCGGTTGTACGGATGCTCGGCGGAACGCCTCCGAATGGACTGGCGAGAAAGCGAGAGAAAAGAAAAAGCCCGTGGGAAAGA